CGAGCGGTGGAGTGGCGGCGCCGTGGGACAAGAAAGGAGAGGAGACGGCTGCGCTGCCTGTGAGGCTGTGACCGGGCGGAGTTTTTCGGCGGCGTTTGACGGTGAATATATAATCCGGTATGCTTCAGTAAATTTTACTGTAGTCTTAGATTAATTGAAAAATCTAATTTTGTCTGTAATTAATTAAAATTTATCTATAACTAAGTTATACATAGTCCAATGAGTACGAAATTTTTACTATAGTTCAATCATACAATAATTAGCGTATCATAAAAATTTTACGGTGGACCATGGCGGCTATGAATTATTCCAATTAATTGGGGACAAAATTAGTTTTTCAATTAATCTAAGGGAGTAAAATTGTGTACTGCTAAAGCATGCTGTATATGATTCACGTGTAGATCTACTCATGTGGAGTCCAACAAAATTAGATTTTTTATTTTATGATTTACTGTGATTTTTCAAAGATTCACCGAAAATAAAAAAAGAAATTCAAACCCACCGTTACTGTAGCAACCCGCTGTTACTGACGATTTTAGAAAGTTCAAGGAGTAAAATAGACGGTTTTAGTTAGGGGTAAAATAGACTAAGTATGAAAGGTGGAGGGAGTTAGTAGACTTTTCCCACCGTTCCAAACCTAACGGAGGGGGTGGGTTACGAGCGGGAATAAGCAGCCGAGCAGCAGTATGCGGAGATGTCGCTCATGGCCGGATGCCGGAGTCGCACGCGCGCACCTCGCCTGGGCCACTGGAGCCGCACCTCGCCTCGCCGCTCCGCGCGGGGGAGATGTCGCATCTGCCGCTCGTTGCCTTGCTCGTCACCGCATCTTCAATCAACGCCGGAGTTCGCCGTAGCCGCGCGTCGCCTCGTGCCTCGTGGCGCGGTCCTCCGAAGCCGCGCGTCGCCGCTCTGTTGTGCGGTGGTGGAGGTAGCTGGCGAAGAAGATTACGCAGACGCAGCTCGCTCCGCCGATTGACTGGTCCCGCGGTCACCGCGCGCACTGGCCACCGGAGCAGTCGAGGACCGCCGCTCGCCTCGCGCCATGGGGTCGCCGGAGCCACCTTCCTCTCGAGTAGGCGGCTATGACCATCTACAGCTGGAGTTGATAGCCAATTCCGCGCTGACGCAGCTGCCTGCTTGTGCTGACGCAGCTGCTTCCTCCCTCGATTCTGTAGCGTGGTAGGAGCTGCTGCTTGAAAATTAATTTCATAGCCCTCAAAGATTAATCGGAAAATATCACTGAAAAAACACAGTTACGTGAAATATCTCTATTTTTTCTACCCTGTAATACATCTACCCATGTAATACATCAGTTCAAATTATTCTACGTCCACCCAACAATTACCATCTCCACAGAGATAATCTTAACTACACCCACACCACTAAATGCACCCAGAGATTCACCGTTATAGAAATGTACGCACCAGATCATCTCTCTTTCATTCTCTGGCCCCGTTCGCTAGTCTGAATCTTGGCTGAAATTGGCTGAAAAATACGGTTCCAGCTGAATTGTTGTGAGAGAAAATACTGTTCCTACTGAAAAAACAAGCCGAACAAGCCGAATATAGAGTAAGCCGAATAAGCTCTCTCTCCTTACTCAACCATATCCAACGGTTGATGTTCAATGGATGCGCAGTGTCAACCCCCACGCATCCCTACCGCCCGCCCGCGCCCTCCCTCTGCCCCCGGTACCCACGCCCACGCCCAGCGGCGGCGGTTCGATCCCTCGCAGGAGTGTTTTTTTCTCCGGAAAAAAAATTGAAACACAATCCGCTGCTTCCTCGCCCTGTCTTCTAGTTCCAGCCATGACGACGACTCCTCCGAATCCTTCCCTCTCTCTCACTCGCATACGGAGCCGGGAAGCGGGGCAGCCGCGCGGGGGTGCCAGCCGAGGGCACGCCCCAGCCGTGGGCGCGGGGCCACGGCGAGCTGAGGCCGTCGCCGGCCGCGTGCCCAGGACCGCCGGCTCGGGCTGCCTTGGTGAGGAGAAGGCTTCTCGCGCTCGCGTTCCGGATCCATGGGAGGCCTTATGCGACGCAGCCGTGGGGGCGACCCCTGCCCCGGTTCCTGTCCTCAGCGACCTCCGGTTTCGCGTGGCCGGTCACCAGGAACCCCGCTTCCTATCCATGGGATCGGTTCGAAGGTTAGGGTTTGCTCTTTCACTCCATCCATCTTGGTTTACCTTAAAGGCGTGTTTTTTACATCTCGAAAAGTTTAGATCAGCGAATTATTTTAGGCTACTGTGCTGGTAAGAGATGCCTATTTCATCGGATAGATGAAAATAGTTTGTATGGATGAATTTGACAAGATGAGACCTAAAGACAGGTAGGCATCAATCAATTTATATGTTTGGTGAAACTAGAATAAACATATTACATCTCCTTTTTTGGTCTGCTCTCGAAACCACATTAACACAGTCCCCGTTTTCTTATGCTATTCCAGAGTTGCAATTCATGAGGCCATGGAGCATCAGACAATATCTATTGCCAAAGCTGGTATTCCAACAGGACTCAATTCGAGGATTTCAGTTCTTGCAGCTGCCAATCCAATTGCAGGACTCTGATGATCTTATGGTTGGTAAACATGTTTTTATTGACTCAATAAGTATCAATCTTTTTAAAGTATAAACTATTCAGACGATCGTTTTTTCATGATTTGGTCTAAAGTTTATCGTCAAAGATATCAGAATGTATGATCAAGATAAGGTATGAAGAAAAATTATTTCTACAGCTTTTCTATTCTAGCTACTGAGTACATTGAGTACTTTTAATTTTAGAAAAATAAAAAAAAATCATAGAAGGTTGGAGATTTTTGTTGGCTCATTCTGACTATATACATAGTGGAGCAGCTTATTTATATGAACTTTGGGCATTATGAGGTTTCTCTTATCATCTTTGCAGTCATGGAGGAGTCACCAAACTTTAGGAGAAATCAGCCATCGTCGAGGCCTTCCCCGCCGATTGCATGACATATTTTAGTTTTATGATTTATTTTTTCTAAGCATGATTTATTTTAGTTTTATGATTTATTTTTTCTTGACGTCATCGTAGCGTTAGCACGGGCAATTTACTTTTAAGAAAATGTTGCATTTTCATGTAAATTTAAAGTGTCGGTTGGAAATATGAACTGATCTTTCATCATGATTTCCATGTGTTCAGGTTGTTGAAGCTGCACTTATTTCTAGAATACAAAGATTGGAGTACAGACTAATGGAAATTGATCCTCATGTGAGTCTCTACGTCCTTAAACTTTTATATTACATATAACTCTTGCTCTTCTTGTAGAAAACTGTACACGATGATGTGTTTTTTTACTGCATACTCCATTTAAGCATTGTCACTTACATACTTCTCAATCATTGGCTTCAAACCTTTTAAGCTGTTACTCCCATCCCGTATTTCATTGGGATTTCAATTTAGTCAACTTTCATCATAGTGCACACAGTGGAATTCAAACAATAATGCTTCTAGTTATTTCCATCTCTTATATGCCTTCCAGAAGCCCGACTGCAAATGAATATTTCACACATTTGAGTTTTTTTTCATCACATAACAGTATTTAGCACAGTATTTAGTAGTGTCTAGACTACTTTTTTGCTGCTCTTTAATCTAATGAATATTTTACACATCTGAGTGAAATATACATATTTCAGCAGTTTGTTCTCCATCTAAAGATTGCCTCTTGAAAGAAAGCCTGGCAACAGCTGATTTCTTCTTTTGCCCCCTTGTTCTCCATCTGATAATATACTGTCATTTTGCTTTGTGCAGGTTGTACCGGTTAGCTTGGGAGATATGCTGATCAGGTAATCTTTGTTGACCTTCCTTTTTTAACCAAACCACACTTGAATTCCTGATCTAAGCAGTAGCTACCATTCTTGTGCTTAATCCTACCTAATCCATCATATGTGTTCCGAGTATATCCTCTTGTCTGTTATGCTTGTCCAGGCAATGCAAATTTGCAGTGCCAGCCTGCTAGGTGTTAGTGTTATCCACAATTTCCCTTTCAGTCATCATCTGTGCTTGTGTTGAGTCTATTTGGGGGCTAGGCTACCAACCCTGTATTGTCTCCTTGAGCCAGCGTTAGTTTCAGTTTTGGCACTGCTATATATTTATCTGATTGCGTGCTTCAGTTTTAGTTTCAGCGCCAGTACCAGTTTCAGCCAGTCCCACCAATTTGTTTAACACATATCATGATTAATACAGTAATACTTGCCAATGTGCAATTGCTTCTGTGGGCAATACTCCACTATTAAGAAATTTATCCAAATTGGTTTTGTTGCCCATGTTGCAGGATTTAAAAGATGCATGATCAAGTCTGAATGGAGGCAACCGGTCTGTATCTACCTCGATGTTCTAGGAAATTCTTGAAGATTTTTCTGACGGCTGTAGCCAAATGCTACCAGAAATGTATTAATAAATTAACATGTTCAATTTTCTGACGTGTAATGGATTGGTGTCTGACATGTGTTCAGGATCTGAGATGTATCTGACAGCTATGATGACTGCCATAACGCTAAAACAGGTGCACCTGACACTAAAGCTTTTTGTGGGCGTGTTTGTTTTTTTCTGTGTGAGAAATGACCATTCTTTGCGAGATAATGAATTTGTATTTCTTTCATAGTTGATTTATTTTTTAGTATTACCATTAATTTTAGTTTTATGATTTATATATTTTTTAGATGTCACCGTAGCGTTAACACGGCAATATACTAGTCATTGAAAAATAGAACTGTTATCTAGAAATAGCATTCGGTCGCTCCCGGAGGCAACGCCGTCGGCACCGTGGATCTCAGTCAATATCATAAACGCAAAAAAAATAAAATAAAGAAGAAACTAAAACAAATCCACTCGATCCATCACTTCGACGCTGCAAAGGCAGGCTGCGCATGCGCCGGCGGCCACGATGCCGAGCTCCGCTGCGCCAGCACCCTGCCGCCACCCAAGCTGGCTGGCGTGCTCCGCTCCGTCGCGCCTCGCCGGTGATGAATCTCCCAGTCCGTGCTAGTCGGCAACCGGGCGATCTCTCCACGCGCGGGGGCCATGCCCGAGGGCGGCGGCGGAAGCAGCAGCACCTGGCCTCGTCGATGACAACACCTCTGCGCGCCCACGCTGGTTGGCGACAACGCCATCTCCCTCAGCGCAGGGGTCATGCCCGGCAGCGGTGGCGGCGGTGGAGGATGCGTCGCCCTCGCAGGGGCCGCGCTCGGCAACAGCGATAGCGCCATCTTCCCAGCGCAGTGGCCACGCCCGGCAGCGGCGGAGGCCGACTGCTGCCTCCGCCCTCACACGTGTCGTGCTCGGCAACGACGACAACGCCATCTCCCCAACGTAGTGGCCACGCCCCGCGGCAGCTGCCTCGCCCTCGCGGGCCGTGCTCTGTAACGGCGGCAGCAACTGGCCGCGCGCCATGGTGGCAGCTCCCGACCTCGCCGCAGCGCTTCACTCATTCAGCGTGGGAAGGAGAAAGAAGCATCTAGACGGTATGGATTCACGTCGTTAGCTCAAACCGTGACCAGAATGCTAGTTTTAATAGAGTAATCTTTCAGCGATATTTTTCGACTCGTGATCTTTCTGTCCCGTAAAACTAATTTTCACTTCATTAATGTTGGAGGATTGACGAGGTCAGGGAGCTCCGGAGCTGGGCCTATGGAGATTGGGGATAAGTTCGGCGGTGTGCTGTCTAGGGATAGGGATGATGTGCAGCGGTGGCTTTCTGTATTTTTTTTATACATGGGGCCAGTTTAAACCCAAACCTAAACCTCCTGAATCCTGATAGGCCAAACAACGGATTAGGTTTAGTACCTTATTTCCTATCCCTAACACTATCTCCAACAACATTATCCAAAATATAAGATTCATTTTACGTTTGGGTAGCGCTATAGGCAAATGATTCGATACCTATTTCTGGTCTTCTCTAATAACAGGATCTAAAAGAGAATCATTTCTGCAAATGAGGCCCCATTCGGCTAGCAGAATTTTGACTAAAACTGGCTGAAAAACACTGTTCTGACTGAATTGTTGTGAGAGAAAAATACTGTTCTGACTGAAAAAAGAAGTCGAATATGGGGTAAGCCAAACGGGGCCTAAGTCTTCATATTTAAGTTATGCCTCTGCTACAACCCAAAATAGGTCTCGCATATAGGTACTCTGTCGTTGGAAACGAATACAGTAGCATCAAGACCTATTTTGAGTTTGAGTGCCTATATAGATCACATGTTGGAGATAGTCTAAGTCCCTAACCCACCCCCTCTATGCTCTTCTATTTCCATTTCCCTATCTCACTAGCAATCTTAGAAATCCACCGGGCAGAGGTCAATGGGACGCCGTAGGAATTTTTTTATTTTTAATCCTTTTGTATTTAATATTTTAATAATAATCATTTCTAAAAAACGCCATCTAACATGGGGATGTTGTCGTGCCAAACTATCAATGCATGTGGCGCGACAATGTTATTTGGTCGTGCTAGCGGCACTGGCGCGATCAAAAGGGTCAAAAATTTAGGAGAAAATATTATTAAAATATTAAAGAAAAAAATTAGAAGAAAATATTATTAAAATATTAAAAATAAAAAATCCCTCACACCGCATGCATGTGGAGGGCTGGCGGCCGCTCCGTTTCCGAGAAGGGAATAGCGATTTTTCTATTCATAATAAAGATTTTCTAGACTAAAATAAATTAGTTATATACTAGAGATACGCTCGTGCGTTGCATCGGTGTCACGATTTTATTAACTGAACCTAAGTAATCGGACGCAAACATGTGAGCTCCGATGATTTTCTGTCGCACGCGTACACGTAGATCCAGTATTCGTGTCGGAACCGGGTAGCACTACGTGAAAAACAATTTTTAGCAACGGGACAAATTTTTTATAGGGGCGGCTGGTGATGGAGCCGCCCCTACAGTGACGTGCTCGAGAGCCACGAGACTAGCCGCCCCTACAAATGGAACAGCAGAGGCGGCTGGTGATACGAGCCGCCCCTACAAATGGGTCGGATTTGTAGGGGTGGCTCAATCACCAGCCGCCCCTAGTATTACTATTTGTAGGAGCGGCTCAATCATGAACCGCTCCTACCGTACGAACTACAACCGTTTATCCAAAGTACCCCACCCCGTCCCCAGACGTCTGCTGCCTTCGAAACCCTACCCTCTCTTTCATCTCTCTCCTCAGATCCCGTCACCGAGAGCCATCATCTAGAGTAGTGGCGGCGCTTCCCTCCCCGAGCTTTGCCTCCGCTCCCTCCTCAGCGTCGACCCCGCCCCACCACCACCGCCTCCGCATGGTCTCTTGCATGGATCTGCCGTGCGCACTACCTCCCTCAAGGGGCCTCCGACCTAGGGCCTTCCTGGGACCCCAAGCACACTCACCCCATCATGCATCTCAGGTTCGTGCTTCGGCGGCGTTGTACTTGCCTGAGGTGAGATATGGAGGTGAGTACACCACGTCTCAGATCTGTGATTTGCCTGGAGTTTTTTTTTCTATCTCAGAGGTGAGATATGGAGGTGACTACACCCGAGCTTTGCCTCCGCATGCTCTCCTGCATGGATCTGCCGTGCGGAGGCTGCTTTAGCGGCAGCGAGGGCTCTTCCAGTTGCATCTCTCCTCACCCCCTTCCCTACTCCTCTCCCACTTGACTCTTGCTAGGCTAGATCACATGCTCCTGATCTGGATCACATGCTGTGGATCTGAGCCGTATCCAGGCAAGTGATTTCTCCCTCCTACCTCCCTCATTTTCTTGATTTCAAAACCCTAACTCACCATTATTCCTCAATCTCTCTGTAGGCTGACCATATCTGAGTTCTTGGCTATTCTTGAGGTACGAATCCTAGTTTCTTAGGGTTTTTTTTTTCATTTTCTCCTATGTTTTCAGTCACATAACCTTAACATGTGTATGTAAGATCCAATTTTTTTGTTGTATACTTGCAGATCTGCCCTCCCTCGCTTGTTCCTGTGCTTTTGCTTGGGGTCCTGCAAGTTCTCATTCGGTATATGAGACATCTAGTCCCCACTCTTGTTCCCCCCTTAATCTGTATTATGCGGTAATGATTGGTGCATGCTGCGACTTTGATGAATGCGTTATTTTCTTAGCTTATGTCCTACTCAATAATGATGATGGCAGTTTAAATCTGAGCATATATCCACGTCAATGATGCTGGAAATTTTAATCTGAGCCTATGTCCAACTCTATGATGATTGCAAATTAAATCTGAGCATTTGCCCATGTCTATGATGTTTGGTGCAGTTCTTGAGCATATGTCCAGTCCTCGCATTCTTAATCCTTATGTTCTTTACAACATTTAGTGTTGTTCATGTGTTGGTAGTAATTGTGTCCTTCCAAATGTCTTGCTTTGTATAGATGGATTTGCAAGAGAAGAGGCGCTTGCTTTTTCAGGCTATGCAACTTGCTTAGAGACACCATAAATTTGTGTGTAGAAGAGCAAGTTGCAATGTTTCTTCATATTGTCAGCCATAACCAACGCTTTAGAGTATGGTGGTAGGAACTACCCAACCAACCCAGCCAAGAGAGTTGTTTAATTTGAGGCACTCTAGTTTGAGAGTAACTGTTGAAAGGGCTTTTGGTGCTTTGAAGAGTCATTTTCGCATGATTGACAGCAAACTCTTCCATCCCTTCAAGACACAAGTGAAGTTAGTACTTGCTGGCTGTGTATTGCATAATTGGATTATTGGTTATGGGGTTGATGAGGTAGTTCCTGCTGAGTTCTTTTGGGTGCCAAATAATAATGGTAGTCAGCCCCTTGGTACACAAGTGGATGACAATGCTACTTGGGCCTTACTAGGGATGAATGAGCTAATCACATGTAGGCTAATAGGGTGCCTCTCACATCTAGGAATTTTGTGTCTATGCTGAATTTTTCTATTTATTAACTTATTTTGTATCTTCTGGAGACATATGGAATGATGGTTATTATTTCTGTACTTGTGATGCGAGGCTTTGGACAAATACAATGATGATTATTTTTTCCTAACATACTACACTTTAGCTGAGACTATGGACAAATGCATTGATGATTATTTTTTTCCTATGATACTACACTTAATATGAGACTATGGACATATGCAATGATGATTATTTTATTCCCTAAGATACTATACTTGATATGAGACTATGGACATATGCAATGATGATTATTTTTCCTAACATACTACACTTGAGATGAGACGAGGAATGTGCATGAGGCATGTGCAATGATGTTTTCTGTTTTCCTTTTTGAAAGGAGGCATGAGGCTTGTGCAATTATCTTTGTTATCTCTATTTTTCACATGAGGCATGGAGCATTTGCAATGATGATTATTTTTTGATGTTACACTATATCTGAGTGGGGTATGGCACTGAAATTAGGATATGGCTGAGGAAATTATCTCTGTTCTTATGAAATGAAATACTTAGAAATCATGCCTTTTATTTTTTAGAATTAATTTTCCATGAAATGAAAAACTTAGAAAATAGTTAGAAAATTGTAGAAAATCCGTACTAGTTGAACTTGCGGACCGTGTTTATCTCGGCTAGCATGTTCTCTGCCGAGTGGCAACGGACGTCAAGGAGGAGCTTTGATTCTACGAGGGAGAGCGGCAACGGTCGTGGAAGACCGTGTTCCCTTCCTCGTAGAATCGGAGCTCTTCCTTAGCCAAGTACGGTGTCGTCCGGTGGAGAAATGCTCGCCGAGATGATCACGTAAGCAAGGTCAACTAGTACATATGGTTATTTATTGAAACATGTTTTTGAGCTATAATTTATATGGAGACAAGTTTGGTGCTTTTGGTGATAATCAGGTAAGAAGCTTGTTATGTTAAAGCTCCTATTTGATCAGTTTAAGTTCTATCAAAAAATTGATTTGAGTGCTATATATCTTTGCAGTTCAGATACACGCTCCTTTGCTATGCTGCATGTGAGGCTACTCATCTGAATCCTACATGCCTACACCTTTATTTTGCAGTGCATGCCACATTACTTTAACATTCTTTGATTCTTTTTTCATGTATGTTTAACTTCATCTGCGTATATATTTATGAAAGCCGAGAAAACATTATTGTTGGCAGTTCCAAGGAGCTTATCAGTTCTTTAACACTTAGTCAACTTATTCTGGTGATTCTAGTTCTTAGTAGTTAGTCCATCAGTAGTTAGTCCATCAGATGGCTTTTATTGTTCTTAGGCATGTCTTAGACTTTTGATTATCTTCCAAGTGAATTCCATTCCATGTTTGTGTATTGTCATTGAGTTTCAGTACAATCGTAGAAGAAGATAAATCATGATGGAGTTGTGTATGAAAAATATATGTTCTGGTCGAATTTGAATTGTAAATTTAAATTTTTTTGGCGGAAAAATAATTTGTAGGGGCGGTTGGTACTGTAGCCGCCCCTACAAATCGATTTGTAAGGGCGGCTGGTGTTC